TTCATCCTCCTCCTCCTGCTCCTTCTCGTGATCATCCTGCCTCCTCCTCCTCCGCCTCTCCCATCTTCTCCTCCTCCTCGTCCTCCCCCTCCTCTTCCTCCTCCTCCTCCTCCTCCTCCAGCCTCCTCCTCCTCCGCCTCATCCTCATCATCCTCCTCTATTCCTTCTCCTTGTGAATAGCTCATCCCTGTTGCACCCCAGGCCAGTCGAAAGGGCGGGCCAGGCGTTTCGTCCCAGAGAAACTGATAACAGCTTCACAGATGGAAGGCGGGTCGATTTCAGACTGTGGATCTGGCCTTAGCGCCGCGCACGTTCGTTTCAACAATTTGCAGGAGCTGCACGGATTGAGGACGGGCCGTGTTCGAAATTCGGTTCTCGCCTTAGAGCCGCGCACATTCGTTGTCAAAATTCGCAAGCGCTTCACGGATTGAGGGCGGTTTTTCAACATGTAGCTCTCGTCTGATCGCCACGCACACTCGTTTTCAAAACAATCACCAGAGATTCACTGAATATCATGGCTAACGTGTCTCTGGTGTGTTGCCACGTTTCAGGTGTTTCACACGGTTGTCCACCAGCGGGGGACCTCCCTAAGTGGAAATTAACACTTGCAGGGGCCTCTGAAGAGGGAGCGTGGAGGAGGGTGTGTTCCAATATCGTTGGTAAGTCCTTGGTTTACACATGTCCTCCTCCTCCTCCTCCGCCCCCCCTCCTCCTCGTCATCATCATCATCATCATCATCATCATCATCATCATCATCATCATCATCATCATCATCATCATCATCATCATCATCATCGTCCTCATCCTACTCTTCCTCCTTCTCCTCATCCTCCTCCTCCTCCTCCTCCTCCTCCTCCTCCTCCTCCTCCTCCTCATCCTCCTCCTCCCTCCATTCCTTCTCCTGTGAATAAAAGAGAGAGCGTGATCCACCGCCGCTTTACTGTGGAAAATTGCCAACCTTTTCCTCCGGAACCCGAAGTCTCCCCCCCAACTCCGAAAACCCCCCCCCTGGACCCCCCCCCCTCCCCCCCCCCCTTCCCCCGCTGCAAAACCCCCCCTCCCCTAACCCCTCCCCCCCCCCTCCCCCTCGAAAACCGGGGGGGGGTCACTACCGGTTCGAACCCTCCACCCCCCCCCCTCCGGATCCGGAAAACCGGGGGGGGTCACTACCGGTTGGAACCCCCCCCCCCCTCGAAAACCGGAGGGGGTCACTACCGGTTCGACCCCCCCCCCACGCACCGCCAGCAAACGACTCCCGGTCCCTACCACCGCTCGCATCACATCCCCCACTGTTGTTCCCAGCACCACTGTCCTCACCACCACTGTCCCCACTGGTTCCACCACCGTCCCTATTGTCCCCACCAGTGCCCCCACCACTGTCGCACTGTCCCCACTGTTCCCACCACTGTTCCCACCACGGTTCCACTCTCCCCACTGTCTCCACGGACCCAACCACTGCCTATCCCCACTGTCCCCACTGTCCCACTGACTCCTCCGCTGTCCCACTGAGCTGTCCCACTGTTCCCACCACTGTCCCCACTGTCCCCACCACTGTCCCCACTGTACCTCTGTCCCATTGTCCCACCGCCGTCCTCGCCACCGCCTTCACCACTGTCCCCACCACCATTGTACCCTCCACTGTCCCACTGTTTCCACCTCATTCCCACTGTCCCCACACCACTGTCCCCACCACCACCGTCCCCACCACTGTCCACTGTCCCCCCTGTTCCCACCATTGTCCCCACCACTGTCCCCACCACTACCGTCCCCACCACTGTCCCACTGTCCCACTGTCCCCACCACTGTCCCGCTGTCCCCTCACCACTGTCCCCACCAACACCGTCCCCACCACTGTCCGCACCCCCACTCGGTTTTCGAGGGGGGGGGGGTTCGAACCGGTAGTGACCCCCCCCCCTTTTCATGATGAACTGGGAGGGGGGGGGGGAGGGGTTCGAACCGGTAGTGACCCCCCCCGGTTTTCCGGAGGGGGGGGGGGGGAGGGGTTCGAACCGGTAGTGACCCCCCCCCCGGTTTTCCGCCAGCAGCGGTAGAACACGCTCTTTCGAATAACTCCTTCCTGTCGCACCCCGGGGCCAATCGGAAGGGCGGGCTGGGCGTTTCGCCTCAGATAAAAAACTGACAACAGCTTCCCAGATGGAGGGCGGGTCGGTTCCAGACTGGTGGATCTCGCCTCAGCACCACGCACATTCGCTTCAAAAGTTTGCACGAGCTTCACGAATTGCGGGCGGGTCGTTTTCAAAATTCGGCTCTGGCTTTCGCGCCGCGCACACTCGTTGCCACAACCATGCCAGCGTCTCACGGAGTCAGGGCGGTTCGTCTCCAAAATGTGGCTCTCGCCTTAGCGCCGCGCACATTCGTTGTCAAAACATGAAAACGCTTCACGCCGTGAGGGCGGTTCCTTTTCAAAATGTCGCTCTCGTCCCAGCGTCAAGTCGGGCCTGTCCCTCCACAGGAGGAATATTCCAAAATAGTAAAAGAT